CCCCAAAACCCCAAAACCCCAAAACCCCAGAAGTTAAAATTAGTTGATAGGATGCTCATGAATTGAATAAGACTAATCAAAATATTTAACAATCAATAATTTAGTCAACTCTGCATATAAAATTCAACTCATTAATTACTCAACAAATAAGACTTATTAGAAACTCTAAGTATTTCATTATCCTCTTATAATCTTGGACATTGTACTTAGAGTGTACAGCAAGTTTAGCTCTTCATCTCCACCTTAGAGTACTTTGGTATCAGCTTCAGCTATAACTTCACTTATTTTCGCCTTTACAAGATCTGGAATTTTTTCGTTAGCAATAAAGGTCTCTAGAATTTGATACATTAACTATTGTACATCAAATCCATCTAATACTAATTCTTGAGTTAAGGATTAAACATCACCGAAGCCCTCTGTTGTAGTCAATACCTTTTCAACCTTTTTTATAGTTTCCTCTGGAACAATACCACTTATATTAGCAATATCTTTTACTTGTAAGCTTTATAGCTTGAAAGTACTTGCAGTTTGAAGAGTATTAATGCTTCTTCTCAAATCACCTGCAGAAATATCAACAAGAGAAGCTAGAACATCATCAGATGCTACATTTACTCCTTCTCTATCACAAATCATTCTAAGTCTTTCAATCTAAGCTTCTTTGCCAATGGGTGAGAATCTAAATTTAACGCATCTTGAAGCCAATGGGTCAATGATCTTTGAGATGTAGTTGCAAATAATACAGAATCTAGTGTTACTTGAGTACTGCTCAATGATTCTTCTAAGAGCTGCTTAAGCATCAATAGTCATTGAGTCTGCTTCATCTAAAATTACTATCTAGATTGGAGGACATGGGAATGATGAATCTGGATGCTTAGCAATCTTTTTCTAAGCGAACTTCTTAACTTTTTCTCTGACAACTGCGATTCCTCTCTCATCAGAGGCATTAAGCTCAATAACTCTTTACTTAAAGAAATCTGGCCCGAATAATTCCTTAGAGAGGGCAAGGATAGTTGAGGTCTTACCAGTACCTGGAGGCCCATAAAACATCAAATGAGGGACTTAACCAGTAAGGATACTGTTTCTTAATGCTGATACAACTTCAACTTAATGAGATACCTCCTCAACTTTAGATGGACGACTAAATTTAAGTAAGTTAATCATTATTGCTAATCAGTTAAATTCTCAAGCGATTGAGTTGTTGTTTGTATTACTTACTATTTCTCGACCCAAGGAGTAAACTTTGGTTTCTATGGAGTAGCATTAGTCTAGGTAAGATCCTTCATTTCCTTGTCCTAGTTAGTGCTGGCTGATTATGCTCCTGGAGTTTTCTGTTTAGAAGCTTCTGCGCCGCCCCTTTTGAAAAATTTATCCATAATTTTCCGCAATAATCTTACTTATTTATAATTTTAATTCTTTTCCAGCAAATTATAATGTAAAACTAATTTTACTTTTTGGGGTTTTGGGGTTTTGGGGTTTTGGGG